TGAGCTTCATTTTGCCTCTGCCTCAGATGAGAGACAAAGCGCTGCCTCTGATCCTTTCTCTGGGCCGGAACTGCTGTATGGCTGGCAATGCTGTCAGGATGAACGGGAGGACCCAAGCACCTACACAGCTTGGGACCCGCTCAGATGGGGGCTGACATGTGACTCGGCACCTGGCTGAGGACAGTGTTCAAGAGTCTGGAGGACTCCATTGCCAAGTTTAGAAGGAATCCAACAAGATAACCCTGGCTCCCCACCAAAGTACTCACTGGCCCCGAATGGAGTGTCAGTACTTGACATTTCTTTATTTAATCTTTTTGGCCAGGCAGTTTTTTTCAACTAGGAATGTGTAAGCTCATTCCAAACTGTCTGCTGAGAGGCCAGTCACACTCATTACTGGGATTTTTCTACCACTTCTCTTTTTTTTAAAAAAAAGAAGTCTGTAACATTTTATACTTGTTTCTTAAAGGTAGAGTACTTTAAAAGCATATTTACATTTATGACTTTAATCGAGCCTCAAAATCACCCTGGAGGGTGGGCAAAGCAAGGTTTGTTGAGTTTAGAGAATTCAGGAGCCCAGAGAGGCTGAGTGTCCTGTGCAAGGTCACAGGTAGGTAAGGCTCTGACTCAGTCCTTGGGCTGATACCTTTCCCACACTCCCACACAGCACTAGACATTCCAGGACAGTTCGTTCTGCAATTGTTTTCAGCACAACTCCTACCCCTTCCACACACTAAACTATACTAAGTACTGCGTGCTCTGCCAGCCTGTAGGCTAGGCTACCTGAGGATGCCTCCTCCTGAAGGTTCCAAAGTGTTTCACTGTTCCCCAACCAAAGAGATATTCCTTGCCGCCATTCTAAGAGCTTTTGTAAGTTTTAAAAACCCTGTGCAGTAGATGAGGAAAAGGACAAAGAACAAAGGAAAAGGACTCTCCTGTATGCTCACAGGATAGTTTGCGTAATTCTACTACTGATTTCTGATGGTCTTTTGTGGTACTGGGGATTGAACTCAGGACTCTGCACTTGCCAGGCAAGTGCTTATTCTACTGAGCTATCTCCCCAGCCCCTCTAATGGTCTATTGAAAGGAGCAGTTGATGCTTAAATTTTTTTACTTCTCCTTTTTGTTACTTTTTCTTTTTTTTTTTTTAACCAATTTTGCATGCTTATATCTAGTAATCAAAACAACTAATTTGAAGATAACATTATGCAATACAACAACCATTGTGAAATTCCTATTATTTTGTTTAGTGAAATTATTTGCCATTTCTAATGCTTTTTATTTTTACTGCTTTATATTCTACTAAAAAAAAAAAAACAACAACAACAAAAAAAACAACCCAGTATAGAGTGTTTTGAATCAAGACTAGAAAAACAACTATTTAGATCCCTTCAGTATAATACTGTGGCACCCAGGGACCAGCAAGTGCTAAAGCAAAGTCGATTTTTCTTTCATACTGATCACTACACCTAAAGGCTTATTTGTTAATTTTGGAAAGTCCTTATTTCTATAATTTTAGCTATAATTTATATGCCATGAAGTACATAGGTATTAGCCAGGTGTGGTGGCACATGCCTGTAATTCCAGGCTGAGGCAGAATTATCGTGAGTTTGAGACCAGCCTGAGCCAGAAAGTGAGCTCAAGGCAAGCTTGAATTGCACAGTGAGACCCTGTCTCAAAAAGTCAAGAAAGAAAGAAAGAAAGAAAGAAAGAAAGAAAGAAAGAAAGAAAGAAAGAAATTAGTCAGACAGACACAGGTATTAAATATAGAGCTTGATAAAAAATTTTATATATATATATATATATATATTTAATCAGATACAGAACATTTCCATCATCCTATAAAGTTCTTAGATACCCACTTCCAATCAACCCCACACTAAGCCTCCATCATCCTAATTTCTATCATCATACATTAGTTTATCCGGTCTTGAACATCAAATAAATGGAATCATATTAAATACATAACTTGTTTCTTCCTCCTTCTGTGGTATTAAGAATCAAACCCAGATCTTTTGCACTGAGCTATGTCCCCAGCCCTATTTTTTTTTTTTTTTTTTTTTTTTTTTTTTTTTTTTTTTGTACTGGGGACTGAACTCAGGACTTTGTGCTTGCCAGGCAGGCACCGTATCACTGAGCTATATCCCCACACTCCTTTTTATTTTTTGAGAGAAGAACTCGCTAAGTCACTAAATTGCCCAGGTTGGACCTAAACTTGGGATCCAGCCTCAGCCTGCCAGAATGCTGGAATTAGGATTACATGCATGCACCACCATATCTGGCTGTATATTTTTCCTTTCATTCAATGTGTCTGCCAGACTCACTCATGTTGTAATTTGTTCCTTTTTATCACAACTATTATGTTTTTATTCAGTTTTAAAATCCAGCTATATTACTGTTAATTGTTCCCTCAAAATTCTTTCCATTCAATTTTTCTACTGCATGGTCCTTCTGCATATCCTCTCAGCCATGCTTGCAATAACAAAAAAACTTGTAAAGAGATTATTTTTACTTTTAGCACTTGCCTCTTAGGTAGGGTGGTTCACTAGGTTGTCCAGCCTGGTGGTCCTATGTACAAGCTTTAAGAGTAGGCAGGTCTGGGGTTACCTTTCAGGTTTACTACAGGACAAATGGGCAGTCTCAGACAGGTGACTTAACCTCTCTGTGATTGTTTTCCCATTTGTAAAATGAGGGTAATAATACCTTCCTAATAAGGATTTGTGAGGACTAAATTACATTGCACATAAAATGCATGGCATACGACAAACTAATCATGGCCTCAAGCTAGACTGTAATAAACATCCTACTGCTCTAGTCACACACTTTCAGTTTTTGGAAGCCATGTATTAATGGACATATATATATATATATTTTTTAATTTTATTTATTTGTGTGTGTGCGCACGTGTGTGGCCAGCTCAGCCCACCAGGGGCGGGGCTGGCTGGCATGTGGTGCTGGGGGATTGAACTGCGGTCCCTGTGCTTTGCTAAGCTTGTTCTAAGTAGGTGCTTTAGACCACTGAGCCATCTCACCAGCCCCAATGGACATATATTTTTGAAAGACATAGTTCATGTTAGTATCTAGAAAAGTCTATTTAGACTTTACTTATAAAATGCGGTACTGGGGATTGAACTCAGGACCCTGTGCTTGCCAGGCAAGCACTTATTCTACTGAGCTATCTCCCTGGGCCCAAATTTTATTTTTTTCCTTTTTTTTTTTTTTTTTCCGGTACCAGGGATTGAACTCAGGACTGTATGTTTGCCAGGCAGGTGCTTATGCTATTGAGCTATCTCCCTGGAAAGACTTTAAGCTTAGTTAAAATAAGTAATTTCCTATGGAATAAAATAAAGTCTTCACCATTTATTCTTTTTTTTTTTAAATTTTATTTATTTGTGTGTGTGTGTGTGTGTGTGTGTGTGGCCAGCTCAGCCCACCAGGGGGCGGGGCTGGCTGGCATGTGGTGCTGGGGGATTGAACCGCGGTCCCTCTGCTTTGCTAAGCTTGTTCTAAATAGGTGCTTTAGACCACTGAGCCATCTCACCAGCCCCTCACCATTTATTCTTCAACAAGTATATACTGAGTGCCAAATTTCAGAGGCTCTTCAAATGATAAAAAACATGGCCTTAGTTTTTAGGATGTTTGATTTGGGGAAGGTAAAGGCATAAAAACAAAAATAATTACAATATGAAGTGTGGTAAATAATAATAACAATTAACATCTATTAATGTAGTGATTAAGAGCATGGTCATACTGTTTGGGTTCAAATCCCAGCTGCAAGATGCTGGGCAAGTTACTTAACCTCTTTGTGTGGCATCACACTTGTAAAATGTGGATAACACTACTTACCTAGCAGGGTAAGTACTCAATAATAATGCAGTTAACATTTATGGAATACTCAGTATGTGTCAAGCACTGTGTTAAATGCATACATGTACTACTTTACATTATCTCTAAACACTATTATAGCCATTGTCCTGATAAGGTAACTGAAGGAGTTTAGGTAATACCAAAAGTTTACAGCTACAAAATACCAAATACAACAGGAAAAAAACACAATCATCTATAAAATGAGGACGATAGTTAGAATCAATTGAATTAACATTTGAAAAGTGCTTAAACAGAGCCTCGCCTATATACATAGATGTCAAATAGATACAGATTGTTAAGGTGACTCAAAGATGACAGTCAACAAATTCCATGCACAGTGACTAAGGAAGACTTTGGAAAGATGAAGTTTAAAATGGGCCCCCAAAGTAGGTAAGTTTGGGTGGGAATGCCACAAGTTGGGCCTGGGGGAGGGGGGGACTGGACTACTTCCTTTCCTCCAACTATTCACTATCCTCAATTATATCTTACCATTTTCCTCTTATTGCCATAGAACCTTCTGTCCTTATCATCATAATTATCCATTGGCCAATACTTCTGAGTGCCTCCATGTTTCCTTCCAGTCCCAGTTCCTATTCTCCACTATAATCCTCCAAACTGGATTACTAGCTTTTAGAAAGGTCCACTCCAATCCATCCTCCACACTGCCACCAGAGAACAAAGTCGCAGACCTGGCCCAGAAATCCTTTGCTCCCGCTATAGTCTTTCTCTACTGTGTCCAGCATAAACTTCAGTTTGCCTAGCATCCTGGTCGCGGCCCTTCACTAGGTGGTCCCAGAAGCCTTATCTTCCGGTGTTGGTCTCCATGCACTCTGCGCTTTAGCCACAGGAAAGCACTCAAGAGCTAGCCACACTTACAAAAAACAAACAAACAAACTCCATTACTACCCTATCCCTTGCTACTGAAACATGTCCTGAATGAAAAAGTCTAGCTTATACCCCCTTTCCCTTCAACTTTCCCAGCCTTCCAGGCAGCGCATACCCAGGACCCACAGAGACCGGAAGGGGAAGGGCTTCGCGCCGGCCCGGGGCCGCCATCTTGGCAGAGGCGGCCGGAAGTGGCCGGAGCGGAGGGGCGGGGCGAGCTGAGGCTGCGCGCGGCTTCCGGCCTCGCGCGCCCGCGGCGCTTAGACAGCGGTTCCCACGCTGCGGCGCCGGGTCCCGCGGCTGCCCAGGCCTTTGCCGTCACGCCCACTCCTCCTCCGCCGTCCAGCCCTTCGGTCCGGGTCCTGGCCCCTGGGCGTGCTGTTCTGCCTGCCTGTTGCAGAACCCCGAGCGCGCGCGGGGGTCTCCTGGACCCTCGGGCAGAGCGGCCGCAGGATGGCGGCCGTGACGGTGAGACCCAAGCCGCGACCGCCTGTCGAGGGGCGGCGTGGAGCCTCGTCCTGCAGGAGCCCCCCCAAGGGGGACCTCGGCGCGGAGAGGGAGGAGAGGGCCGCGGGGCCCGCCCACGCCGGGAGAGGCGGCGGAGCTGACGCGGTGCGGGCACGCCGCCGCCTGAGCCGCGCGGTGGCCGAGTTGGCGCGGTTTCTGCTGGTGAAGGACAGGAAGAGTCCCATCGCGCGCTCCGCGGTGGTGAAATACGCTCCCGGGATCATCGCAAGGGCCTCAGAGCGCCTGCGGGATGCCTTTGGTGTCGAGCTCACAGCTCGACCGCAAGCACTACACTTACATCCCGATCAGAGAACCTCCAGAGGAGGAGGAGGAGGATCTAGGAGATGCCCTGATGGGTCTCTTTGTGATGATCCTGGGTCTTAACTGCGTGAAAGGTAATAGTAGTGCCAGAGAGGCCCAAGTCTGGGAGATGCTGCGCCGTTTGGGGGTACTTACTTAAAAATATCACTTCCTCTTTGGGTACCCAAGCAGCTTGTGGAAGACGTGCAATAGCGATACATCAGTTATAGGCAGGTGCCCCACTCCACTCCACCGGAATATGAATTCTTTTAGGGTCCCCGAAGTAACCTGGAAATCAGCAAGGTGAAAGTCCTACGGTTTGCGGCCAGGCTCCGTAAGAAAGAACCCCAGCACTAGCCATTGCAGCATCGTGGGCCTGTAGCAGAGGAAGTCAACAGGGCCAGGGCTGAGGCCAGTGTGAATGAGAGCCTACCTGCACCAACCGGTGGTGAGAGTTGGTGGAAAGGTAGCCACAAAGGCAGTAGCCACGAAGGCTCTGTGGATGTGGAAGCCACTGTCCTGAGTCATTAGTATAGATAGGGAGAGAGTCATTATTTCTAAAGAAATTATGTAACTTTTTAGGTTTTGTAGCTTGTTAGGGTGTATTACATTATATATATGAAATTGGTCTTTTTGTAGAGTTTTGTTAGTGTTTTAAAAATGGATTGAAGAACTTTACTGTGATCTTGAAAAGATTATGCAGCATGGGAATGCTGTTACTTAAATCATTTGAAAGATCTTAACATAATGATGATGTACTAAGGGGAAAAAACAGCTGATTCCATGTCTAGTCTCCAACACTTTTTGTCTGTTGTTTTTTTTTTTTGAAAGACTGACATGCACCATTATTTGCTTAGATGTTATAGTATCCAGAAAAACAACTCAATAAATTAGAAGTGTACCTTGAACATTTAATAAATTAAACACACATTGAACATCTTGAATTTTTGAATAATTATTTTGGGCATTTGAGGGTAGACTACATCCTATTTTTTATAGAATTGGGGAATATATACATAAACCAGAAGTTAGAGAAAAGACTACAAAGGACACCTAACACAGTTGTGAATGGTGAGGAGTGCTTGAGGTTACCCTGGGTAAATCCCCTTGGTCTCTGGGTGGGGAAGAGTGGAACAAGGAGGTGGAAAGGAGAATAAGGTTAGGTGTGGTGTTTAAAATCATGCCTTTCAATGCCTTGAGAAAAAGACTTGCTATTGCAGAAGTCTTGGGAAATGCCCTGCATTTGCCTGTGATCTTGTTCTAGGACAGTTTGTCACAATGCACAATGATGGTGCCCATGGACATTTTAGCTTCTCTGTCCCTCTCTCTCACCTTCCCTAAGTTTCACTCTTCTCCCAAAGCCCTGAGAGAGCAGTTAGTGTAACAGTTCTAAAATACTGTGCAGTAGGGTAGAGAGAACATCTGGTGTGTCCTGGTTTCAAGATCTCTTCCCCTGACATCCAGAAGCATGGTGCTCCTCTGTGTTTCTACCTGCTGCTTTTCTTTGGCCCTCTCCCACTGGGTGGAGACCTCTGAGGTATCCCTCATACCCTTAATACCAAGAAGAAGCATCTGCTAGCTGCTCTGGACTCTGCAATGCCTACCACCTCCACTCTGGGGGAGAAAAAATCCTAAAGAAAGTGTATATAATAATAGGGAACTTACTGGAATGGAACCCACACCAGAGATGGAGGGGGGTGGATTGTGAAACTCTCCCTACAGCTGTCACTAAAGAGTTGTTTTTTGTTCTCTTTGCCATTAATTTTCTGCTTTCAGCTGTGTCAAATAACATTTCTGAATGTTGTAAGATTGGTGTGGAATATAGATAACTTTGGGACAGGGCCCAGGAATCCAACAAATCAGACCAAAGCTATCAGTTTATAGGGGAAAAAAGCATAGGAAAGATTAAAAGTATGACTTCTAACTAGTTTATAATTCATTAAACAAAACAAAAATACTGAATGCCCACTGTTTTGCCAACAACTTTGCTAGGTACCAAAATTATTAAAATGGAAAGACTGAAAATAATGCAGTGGGCCCTGAGTTTGATCCACAGTAGAATTCATCAAATAGGAAGACTGTCTTTGCCCTCAAAGAACAATGACAATTTCTCATGTTTGTATGTTCTCAGTGGCTGAGAGGTTGGTAGTGTGTGAACCTCTGGTTGGATAAGGGGTCAGAGTTAGTTGATGATTCACCTAAGGTCACTTGGTGGGTAAAAGAGAATATCAACCCTGGTTCCACCAAGGGAAAAAAAAAAAAAGACTATGAAGGCTGAAACCCAAGCCTCTTGCCCCCAAATCTGGTACGCCTCATTCTAACACATTATGCCCCTTCCTGCCCTGCAGTATCTTGTGCGTGGTTTTAGCTTTCACAACTCCAAGAGGTAAATAAGGCATATGTAACCAGTTATCTCCAGCTGCCCCTGCAGCCTTTAAGGGAACGACGTAGTATAGAAATACTCTCCATTTTATCATGACAGTTGGCTTTGCCCAACATCAGACGTAGTACCTATGGCAAAGGCAGGACTAACTACAGTACCATTTAGTAAACATCTGTGGACCAAAGGTGTTTTCTCCATAACAGTCTCACAGGATAGATACTATCGGTTCCATTTTCACTAAGCATATGAACTCATAAGTTCTCAGAGGCTCACAGATAGTCAGAACTAGGACTGAAGCTGGAGGCTGGAGGAGTCAAGAGCCTACACTTGTCACTGTTCTACATTTCTTTTTTGGGGCTCCTTCCAGAGTTCAGTCACCTGTCACCTGACTCATCTTTGTTCAGACACTACCATCTCTTGAGATGCAAGGGCCATAGAGCTGAGGTTACGATGACAAGGTGCCGGCCTGCAGGAGGGTAAAAAGGAAGCTGAAATAAAACTGGGGAATCATCTGTGAACACCGATTCCAGTTCTGCCTACTTTCTCTGTGGTGTTCTCAGATAGCTGACTACATGCTGGATGTGTGATTTTGCTTAATCTTAACAGATTTTGCCTTTAAAGACTGTGTTTCCTCAGTGTTTAGTCTGCCCTTTCCTACAAGCCTCAAATTAGTCTTTCATGCCATGAAACAATCCAGTAGTGCCTGTGGACCTGCAGTGGAATCTCAGCACTGTTTCCAGATGGTACAGAGGCCAGCAGAACTGCTACCCTTGCCATAGGATGAAAGATTGCCCATGTCACCGATGCCATCATTAACTTCTCAGAAGTACAGAGTGTGGCCTCGGGGCACACGTGTAGTGCAGACATTGGCCATGGCAAGGGCGAGAGATGGATTCCCATAGTGCTTGTGACTACTCACAAGAGAAAAGCTTCCCCATCTCCTTCCCCTTCCAAAACAACTAGCTGTTCTTGGACAAAACACTGTATGTTTGGTGTGGGAAGGATTGAGTGAGTGTCGGCGGGTGGATTATCCCAAGTCATAATTACAGTACAACCAGGAAGCCAAGCTAGTGAGACAGTTCCCTTGGGAGTTCTGAACGTGTCTTGGACAATAGGAAAGAGTTCACTCACAGACACTGCAGGGAGCTTGACACTCGCCGGAGCTGAGATTTCCAACCCACTGGAACGTGGAGGGAGGTCCTTGGAAAGACCCACGTCGGCTGAAGCCCCAGTATCCAGCAGACACTCGGTGAACCAGAGGTGGCAGCTCATTTACAGCCTCTGCAAATCAGTTCTGTATTTGCAGGCTCAATCAGTCTCCACCTGAGGTAATTATGCACCAAGCCTTGGTCACAGGGGCAGCTGATACTTGTGCGAATTATCCCTCAAATTTGTGCAGGCCAGCAGAGATGGCAATAATTAACCTCCCAGCAGAAGCAGTGTGCTGAGCAAGGAGGTTACGTATTCCAGAAAGTGTCTTCCTGGAGGGCTTTTAAAAGTCACAACTTTGACCTTGACCGAGGAGAAACTGCAGTCTGAGGAGCAGAGATCTAAGAAAGTTCGGTAGATGATTGGAAAAGGGGTCAGCTGCAAGCTGTACCCCACACCCCAGCCCACCAGCCGACGTCAGACTTTGCCCAGTTCCCAAGCCAAGTCATGACCAATAACAGTGGCAGTCAGGGTTTATTAAGCCTCTGAGCCAGGCATGGTGCTAACTATGACAACCACATGGTCTTGTGGGTCTGCACACAGCCCTGCGTGGCAGGCCTAGCATTGCCAACGTTAGGATACTGTAATGGTGTATATCTAGATGTCCACTAAGCTTCATGCACACCTAGGTGGGGCTTTGGGAAGGTGATTGGATTATACGGATTTAGAGCTGACTTGCTGTTACATGAAGTCTTCATGGAAGAGGTGGGTCAGTGGGCGTGGCCTGGGAGGATAGCTCCCCCTCAGCCACTCCATGCTCTGCTTCCTGGAGGCCCTGAGATGAGCAGATTTTCCTTCCCAGTATTCATCTGCCATGCTCTCCTGCCTTGGAACCAGCTGACTGTGAACTGAAACAGCCAAAACAAACCTCTTAAGTTGTGCTGCTGGGTATTTTGTCCCAGTGATGAGGAAAGTAGCTAAGACAATAGGAGAAGCCACAGGAAAGAATAATTCAGGCCTTTCCATGGACACGTTAAATGACTTTGCCAAGTTCATGCCATATCTAGTGGGGACAGCCCCAGAGCTTGAACCCAAAACCTGCGGGTTCTCACTGCTGTTACACTCACTGTTCTTCAGAGTTCTTAGGGAGGAGCCAGCCTCCTGATGGGAAAAATGGGGCTGTGGGGGAAGGGAAGAAACCTCTGGCATGGCTCACTCACATCAGACCCTGGTGCCACCCCCATAGCTTGTCTGGACCATACTGAGTAAAGAGGAATTATCTTGGGGTACATATAAAATACATAGTTCATCTATATAAGTAACAAAACTTTGTTGTTCTTTTGAACCTATTAAGCTCGTTTACAAAATAACACAAGCCCAAGCTTAATTAAACAAGAACGCTTACATGTCTGTTTAATAACCGTAAACACCTGTCTTCATAGGTATACACACATGTAGGTAGGTTCAGATATGACCAGTATTTGCTGTGTTTTCAGGACAAGTCACACATTCACAGCAGGTGACCCCTGATACATAGGAATTGCAGTTTGACTGACTGGGCATGGCAGGCACGGGAGGCACTTAGCACCCCCTGTGACCTCCGCTACACGCTACACATAGTCTGTGCGCAAGCACTGTGCAGTCACAGAAACAGTGGCTAAAAAAATGACAGCATCAGAAGTTTCCAGTCGGGGGGCTGTGTCACTGGCTGCCCTGGGCACCTGTAGCTATGGGCCTGGGTTGGACACACCTGTCCTGGAGCACCCTGGCTGAAGGGTGGAAGTCTAAGAAAGCCCTGGAGCAAGTTGCCTTCCCTGGTTGTAGTTCTGTGCATGGAAGCGAAGCTCATTTGTGAGGGCTGATGTCTCTGAGACATCGCCCAGACCTGCTGCGGTAGCCCTGTGGTGGTGAGGTGAGGGCTGGCTTAGGCAGCCTAACGAAGGAAGCCCTAAGGCCAGAGGAGAGGGCTGAGGAGACATCTCGGGGGCATAAGCACCTGCCCGGCAAGCACAAGGTCCTGAGTTCAATGCCTGGTACTGCATGCTATGCCCTGGAAGCCCAGGCCTGCTGTGCCAACCGGGCAAGTTGGCGTACACCTGCAATCCCAGTACTGGGGAGGCTGAGACAAGAGGATCACTACTCAGTTACCCAACCTTGCTGAGCTTTGGTATTCTGTCAGATATTGCTAGACATAGTGGCATACACCTGAAATTCCAACACTCTTGAGAGGCTGAGGCAGGAAGATTACAAGTTTTAGCCCAGCCTGGGCAGCTTAGCAACTGAGAGCCCGTCTCAAAAAACCAAAAAAAAAGTCTGAGTATAGCTCATTGTTCAGCCCCCAGTATAGGAAAAAAATTAATATAAGGAGGTGGATAATAAATATAATACATAGTTTGTGAGGTGATTGATGATGTATGTAGTAGGGAAAAATAAAGTAGGAAGTGTGGACAGTGCCAGTAGGGTGTACAATTTTTTTTTTAATGTATTTGGTTGTTTCAGGGTCTCCTTACGCAGCTTGGACTCAAGGTGATCCTCCTGCTTTCAACCTCCTCAGCACAGGGATTACAGGCCTGCGCCACTCCGCCCAGACTCTGGCCTGCTCAG